GCCCAGAGCGCGGGTGGCCAATCCGCGGCGCTCCTGGGGCCGGTGCTCACCATGCGCCATGTGCCCGGGGTTGGCTCTGGCACCGCGCATGCGCCACGTGCCCGAGGCCAGGCCAGCCCCAAGTACTTGGCGGGCGCACACAAATGCCCCCGCGGGCGCCATGGCGCCCGCGGGCATCGCGTTGGGGACCACGGGTCTAGAGAAAGTCAATGAGAGTTGATATTATATCTTGTGTTATAATCCAAAAACAAGGGAATCCTCAACTATATTAAAAGGCAACTAATTTATCACTAATACTTTGCACAATGAGTAATTAAACTGTACATAACTCTCAGCCACAAAATTATAATTAGGGATAGACCTTACCAGGTTTTCACCTAAGAACTCTCTATAAAACATCTCAACTGTCTAGTTACACTAGCTAGAATAAAAGTTTATATGAAATATCAATCTTCATGCTTCAGGATATAAACAAGCACTAACTGCTTGACGTCAGAAATAATCTTTCCCATAAGCATACTACTGCCTAATCAGCTGCTATGGGGATCTTACATTTCTTCTCCAAAGTGCTTGGTATTGGGTACTGAGAAACTGGGCAGCAGTAACTAGACCTTTTGCCTGATCAGATACCCGTTTTTCTAATTCCTAATGTGCTCCAGGCTGCAACAAAACACCCTTCTCCCATTATCACTACTTGATTAAACCTAATTGAAGTATACTCCTCTCCCATTTTTCTCAGTGCCATTGAAGAACAACTCATGTATCCAAAATAGGAAGCCAAATTAAAATTTAACAGACTTCTGATCTTAAGATTCCATGCTTTGTATTTTAGCAAGAGCAGCAGCTATCCGCTTTGGATTGCGTGTGCTCCAATAAAGAAAACTAAACTTTCCCTTCTTGTTATCTGTCACCATGTTAGAGGCAGCACCCACAAAATTATATGATCATTCGTACTTTGCATTACCCACATCTATTATGACGTATTACTTGTGCAATGCAATTGTTGAGTTTCACTAAACTTGTGCCGGCTGTTGCTAGTTCCTTGAAACAGAAACTCAAGTTTGAGAAACTGAGTTCTCTGCTCAGTGTAGCATAGTGAGGTGTATACAAGTAGTAGGTTATTTGTAGATTGTTGCTGCTGTATCTACCGGCAATTAGGTGATGAAATGTATAATCTTCATAGCTGGTTAAGGGACATGAATTGGCACTTTAGGTCCAAAACTTATTAACTCTTTACCATTTTAAAAGGAGCACTGAAATAGTTTGGATTTAAACATCCCTCTGAAGAATTTGCATTGTGCTGTAATGGATGAAAGAATCAACTATGGCAAGGGCTTTCACCATTGACACTTTTTTGCCTTCCTATATTCCTTCCTATATTCCTTCCGCAAGTTTTTTTCAACCACCTCTCCTTCCTCTTGGCTCCTTTCCCTCTCTCTACATTTTCTTCCACTATTTGATCTGAGGAAGTGGGTCTGGCCCACGAAAGCTCATCATCTAATAAACCATCTTGTTAGTCTTTAAAGTGCTACATTGTCCTGCATTTTGCTTCAGCTACCCCAGACTAACACAGCTACATTTCTATCACTATTCAAAAATGGGGGACACTTGGAGTCATACTGCCCTCTTTTAGGCTTTTTGTGTATACATCCCCTTCTTATTGCTTTGACTTTCATGCAACCTTTCTAATGTGGCTTCC